TATTTAAATCACTGCATGACATAATGAAGCTTCCTTGTCTTTTGTTGTGCTTATACCACAAATATTGATCGTAAAAAAGGGAAAAACGCATTTTGTTTAATAACAAGAAAGAAGTTCTATGAAAATTTCATCAAGGATTCTAATTCCTGCTTCACCCTGTTACTGATGTCCAAGGAGTCTAAATCTTGGAAGACAAAGCATCAAAGTTTCTAGGAAGAACTAAAGGGAAAGCAATACTAGGAGTGCACTAATCCCATTTTATTGATGCAGAGAAACAGAAGCAGCAGAGTTTAAGCAGCATCAGTTAACTTCAGAAGCTTGTGGTAGGATGCTCTACCCATTTCCTGAGTCAGAGACTCGTGTCTCATCCACAAGACCATCATGCTTCCCTAGAGATACYTTCCCTTAATTCCTGAGGGCTGGTTGTGTTTAGTGGACAGAATTACATTTTTGATGTTCTGCTTTTCCATATGCTCTCTATGAAGCAAGATAACCAYGTGTTAGAGGAAACATTAGGTCATGTTTCCTAATGAAGTCAAYAGCAGAATGTCCAGAATTTGGCTGATGCTGTATCACACACACTTAGTGCTACCAAGCAAATCCTTTTGAACAATGTATAGAGAAATAATTTCTCCCATTCACCTTCATTTTGCACCCTGCACCTTGAGATAAAGCAGTGTTTCCTCATAGAGCACATTCATATCCCAAGAGAAATGCATTAGAAAAAAATATGCAAATGAATTTGGGATTATTGTTCTTACGGGTTTATTACCAGTAGACCTCATGAGGAAAAGATCTGGATGAAGTTGCAGCTATTACATTTAAATGTGGGGGAGTTCTACTAAGAATGGCTGAAAACAACTCCAGCCTCAAGTGATACTGACTTCTCTTGAGAGAGATGTGGGTTGGTTCTGTGTCTCTCCCAGGAAAAGCAAGGAGGGTGGAACAGAAAATATCTCTAGCAGAAGGAAGGGTGATAAATCTGTGATTTCTTCTCGTCTCCTCCCAAAATGCGTGCAGTATATTCTACACAATACTAAAAGTGATTCTTATGCAGCCGAACAAAACTGTCAAAGTCTCAGTGGGACCACAAACAGATGAATTAGCAGAAACAGAAGGCCCCAGCATGAAGGGAGACAAGGGGTGGTGCTGTGTGTGCTTTGAGGACTGCATTTTCCCCAGGTGTCCTCTACCCAAGAGAAGCAGGGAGCTCTGCTCCCATCCTGGCAGAGGGACAAAGCTGCAGGGTGATCTGAGCTGCCCATCTCCTCTGCTGATCATCAAAACTGCATATATTGACTTGTAAAAGGAAATGTCCCCAGTACCCAAAATTTGGTTTTATGAACAACCTCACCCCAACATACAACTGATTTGCAAAAAGAAGAGGTGGCTTAGAACTTTTTTTGGTGGAATAACAGCCACAATATTATGGCCTAGATAAATAACACTTTAATATCTTCCATCTTCAGAGGAAGGGGATTTTAAACTCTGACAAACAACTGAACATGAATCCCATCCAATGGAATCACTGACAGGAGGGCTTGCACACAAACAAAGCCAGTTCCCTTTGCATAAATTCTGGAAAGCCAGGTTAATTTAGATTGAATTTGCCATTTTCAAGCAGCTAATGTAAGGAAAGCAAAGCAGGCTGAACCTGTGCTTGCTCAGTTGTGAGCTGTTRAACAGCCCTAACCAGAAACCAGTAACTCAGTGTCAATGTAGGGAAATAACTCCTCCAAATCCTCTGTGTTTTGGATTCATTTTGTGAAATGGAAGTCTTATTCCATAGTCACCCTCACTAAGAATGCCAATTCCCTCTGCTCCACATACTCACACAAATTCCCACACCTGTAAACTCAGCTTTGAATGCCAAGAACTCCTTTGCTGGACATGTCCCAGCAAAAGAACTAAAACCTTTTCAAGAAAAAACCTGCAGTTTTGCTCTTTCCCACACTCCATTCCTGATTTCTGGGTTAGGCAGGAGGTAGATAACTTTGACCCATAATCGTGTTGCTGCCAGTTTCTTCAACACATTTATTCATGTTTGCACTGTCTTTGTTTCAGYGATGTGTTGTGTAATGTGAGCAAGCAGAAAGCCAACTATGCACCAGCAGGAAGGCTTAGAGTGCTCTGATTTTTTGGCACAATGTGATGCATTGTGAGCTGGGTTTTCAGTACTTCCAGTTAAATACCTGGAACTGGCATCTGTATGCTGGAGACCAGAGCCCTGAATAAACTAATTTAGAGCAGAGCTGGGACCAAAGCAGGACTTCATTCATCCCTTTTGCACATGTGCTTGGTGCAGGGAGCATTCAGGACTCACTTGAGCACATCTCCTATACTCAAGGGCAGCACCACACTCTGCCCTTAGCACAGACTGCAGAGCTGAGACAAGGAGCTCCATGCAGGAAACTGTGTCACATGGACACTTGAAATTACTGATGGACAAAAAGAATTTAATTGCAYCTTCACCTTGCTCCACAAACACACACCATAGTCTCAGTAACCTGAGCACTGAGAGCTAAGTGTTCCAGTGCTGGAGATGATCAAGGKTAAAAAGAAAATCAAAATAGTAAAGCAAAGGAAAAAAATCTGAGACCTGTTGAATCTATTTGCCAATCACAGGTATTAATGATAGTACCCCAAAGTTGTAATGCTGCTGTTTTCTGACCAGGCATCTTCAGCTTTGCTCCTGTATGTTCACCTCCACTGTGACTTGGCTGTCTTGGGCTTAGCCCTGTCTTCAGTCACAGACTGAAAGGCTGTGAGGAAGGAAATGCTTGTGACCCCATTTCCTGCATGGGGAAAGAATATATTTACRGACATGTACTGACCCAACAAAGGGCCTAGCAGCTGTGAAAATCTCACAGGGTGTTTCTCTGCACGATTAGCAGCCAAGATGTCAGTTCCTCATTGATACCAGGGACCAATAGGATTTCCTYACTTTGCAGGAACCCTGTGAGTAGCTCAGAGATTGTGGTAGCAGGGCATCTGATATGACAGACTGACCTAGTGCCTCTGGTGGGGAGAGCASAGGACAGCTCTGAGCCACAGGGTTTGTTTCTCAGCTGATTTACTGCTTTTCTATTAATGCAGTTCTGCTGGGGTCCATGAATCAAATAACCAGCCATGAAACAAAGCTCAGTTCTGTACGACTTTACCACCTACTTTTCCACTGAGTCAGGGATGACAGGGACTGCACTCCACAAGGTGTTTCAGGGCATTGCTTTTCCTTCTTGTGTCATGGAGGCAGATCTGCACAGACTCAGGTTTGTTGTTTTTGATGGTCTGTGAAGAGAAGGGYTCCTGAAGTCAAAAACTCTCAGCGCTTTCCAAATGACAAGTTGAGTGCCTGCTGCAAGATTCCCAGAGAGAGCTCATCTTGTCAGATCCCCGGTTCTGGGCTATGGCATCCTCTGTGCCACCCAAAAGCTTTATGCAGCTGTAGCTCTTGCCCACTGGAGTGACCAGCAGCACATGTGCTGTCCAGGACCTGGTGCACTTGGGCACAGCAGCTCACCCAGCTCTGGGTGACTGCACACACATTCAGCATGGGTTCATCAAAGGACAGTCCTTAGCAAACCTGATTTCCTTTCATGGCAAGGTGACCCATGTAGATGATCAGGGGAAGCCAACCAATGCAATCTTTTTGGATTTCAGTAAACTTTTCCATAGTGTCTCTCACAGGATCCTCTGGACAAAAGTCYAGCACRCARCTGGATAAACACATCCTGAGATGGGTGAGCAGCTGGCTCAGGTCTAGCACAAAGGGTTACAGTGAGTGGGSTGACATCAGACTGGTGATTTGTCACTACTGGGGCTCAGCAGRGCTCCATCCTCGGCCCTGTGCTCTTCAACCTCTCCATTAATGACCGGGACTCAGGACTGGAAGGGATACTCAGAACATGCACAGATGATGCAAAACTGGGAGGAGATTTGGACTCTGTCAAGGGCAGGGAGGCCCTGCAGAGAGACCTCAACAAATCAGAGGACCRAGCAATCCCAACCACATGAAGTGGTACCTGGGAGGGGGCAGCCCTGGATGTGTGACAGACTGGGAATGAGAGGCTGGAGAGCAGCGCTGTGGGAAGGGGCCTGGGGGTCCTGGTTTGTGCAAAGTTGAACACGAGCCCCCAGTGCCCTGGAGCCAGGAGGGCCAACCCTGTCCTGGGGRCATCAGGSACAGCATCACCAGCCGGGCAAGGGAGGGGATTGTCCTGCTCTGCTCTGCACTCACCTCAAATGGAAATGTCTGGGTGACTCAAAATAAGAAAGACATGAAACTTTTAGAGAGTGTCCAAAGGAGGGCAACAGAAATGGTGAAGGGCCTGAAGGGGAAACCCTATAAGGAGCAGCTGAGGGTACTTGATCTGTTCACACTGGAGAAGATGAGACTGAGACAAGATCCCATCGAAAAATACAACTTCTCTTCTCTCTGGTGGCCAYTGACAAGACCCAARGAATGGCCTGAAGTTTTGTCAGGGAAGGTTTAGATTGGATATCAGAAAAAGTTTATTTCCCCAGAGGGTGTTTGGGCACTGGAACGTTAYCAGGGAYRTGGTCACAGCACCAAACCTGACAGAGCTCAAGAAATGTTTGGACAATGCKCTCAGGCCCATGGTGTGAGTTTTGGGGATGGTCCCACAGGGCCARGAGTTGGACTCAGTGAYRATGGTGGGTCTCTTCCAACTCAGCATATTCTGTGATTTTGTGATTCCYTTCTGGACTGAAGAGCCAGACTGTGTTTATACGACTGCAGCCTCATTGCACAGAAAGAGATCCTTAGTGCAACCAGCTGCAGAATTCAGTCTTTTAAGTCTGTTTCATCCTTCCAAACACATGTTGCAACACAGTCACTATTATTAGAGTTTAACTCATCAGATCCGAGCTCCGAATGGAGATGAATTGCAGTCTGAGATGCACTACTTAGCATTTTAAATGCTCTACAGACAGTATCTTTGCCTGATCTGCTCARTGCAGGCTCTGTTTTTTGGGGAAGTTTTACAACCTTATTTAACATGGAGAAGCTCTGTCAGTCCCTGCAGGGACTCCTGATGATCTCTGCTTGTCACTAACTTTGTTAGTCTGGTTGCTTTTCAATTATCTGTTAGTCACCACCACCAGCAGCCTTGAAAGAATTGATTGAAAGCCTCACAATCAAATGGTATCAATCTGGAACCAAGGAGAAGATATTTTTATTCCAAACCCACGGAAATAGAGATCATAATGGAAAAAAAAAATAAAAATTCCAACACTCCAAGTCAAAGGTAATGGAAAGGGTGTTAAATACATAGATGCAAGCAACTCARTGTTGCAGTTTTCTACTTGTTTTCTATCTATTTCTTTCCTGCCAGACAGCAAAACTGTGAGTTCATCTCCTGGAAATATTTATGGGATGGTGTACACAAATTTTGCATTTCCTAAGATAAAACAAACCTCCCAAGATAAACATTATTAAAAGGTTGTTGAAAAACACCAAAGGATAATATCAAGTTTTTATTAATAGTTAATAAAGGACAGACTAAAAGCAAAACCTTGCATCCATTTCTCCTTCACTGCTGTAGTCTGGCATTCTTTCATGTTGTTACACAACCACCCTAGGAGGAAGAAAAGAAAGGTTATTACCCMTTTTATTTATTCACAGAAAGAGAAGTGACTCCTATTTAAATAGAGARGGTGAAGTTGTATGCTATAGATCTTGYTCTTCTCTCCCCAAAATCATCTTCYTYTSCTTTGCCAGATCTGACAATCAGACACTTTCCTGAATTCAATTCATCTCACAAACCTGGCAGAMAACTAATGTGGAAAAAGTATGAATATTTTTCTGTGTGAATTGAACTGGCTCAACCAAATATCAGCTGAACACTAAAGCATGTAAAGGGGAGGAAATCCCCAGGTGCAGAAAGGCGAGTTAAGAAAAGAAGGAATGGGTTTGCCTTTTGTTTTTGACAACAGTTGATAACTTCATTCAGAGACCAYATCAGAGGAGGGAGCTGGATCTGGTTTGTGCCTTCAATGTAGAATCATCCTATATCTCATATTAGTTATGGCCAGGGCTTAACCCCTCGTGTTTTGAGAAGGGTATTTTATGGTCTGAGCWGGCAGGCTGAGAGCTGGAAGATTCATAACCACTATTCCTTGTTTTGTGGAGGGATTCATGTATGAGAGAATATCCAACATAGCCCTGAGTAAAAGGGAGGTGTCATTTCTGAGCAAAACAGGAAAATTCCTTCAAACAATAAATGTTATTGGCAGCTACTTACTCTAAATTACTGTTTTATACTCTGGAGAGAACGGACCCTCTTTAAAAGCTCAGCTCCTTTATTAAGGTGTTAGGAGTTATTCCAAGGATGCAATTACCTGAAACATAGAAGATGCTTAACTTTATTTTTTATGGAGCATTATTCCAGTAAGGAATATTATTCTGTGACCTTCAAAACAAATTTTGCTGGCATAAGTGACATGGTGGCAAACAAGTAAGCAATTATAATCTGACTTTTCCAAAGTAGCCAACAGATTGCATAAAGACACACAAAGAAAATCACACAGAAAATCAAATATACCCAAACAAAGTCAAGAAAAGCTAAGAGAAAACTGAAATTCACAATCCCACTGCTTAACATACTAAAATTTGGGGRAAAATTATAAAATTATTTGAGTACACTTCAAATGCTACAAAGCAGAAAAAAACCCAAAGACACAACTTAGTGGTTTTCATCCAAATCACCTTGGAAAAAAAGCAAACAATGGAATGTAATTTTCCTGCCCAAAACAGCACAGTTAAGGATTTGTTTCCATTTTCCCCACTTGACCAGGTTTATACTGTGGATCCTCTTTTTGTAGTGTTTTTTGTCCATAGCATAACAGCCCTTGGTGACAGCAGCACATGGCACCGTGTTATTGCAGACCGTAGCTCTATCAATTACACCACAATGGCTTTAACAGAGAAACTTGCTTTATTTCTTCTCTGCTTTCTATTATGTTTCCTCCCAGTTCTTGCATCAAATCAAATCATTCAGATACACTGAAATTTTATAATTGCTGGTCTCCTGCCCTTTGTGATGTCCCTTTCCTGTTCTGCAGCACTGGTCATAGTTTTCCCAAAGCATTTTTCTTGCTGTGGCATTGGAGCAGTCCTTTGTTGTGATATAGCAGAACTCAGAAGCTGGAGAAGAAAAAGGAGTGACAAGAAGACACAAAATTCAAGACCCTCCTGCATTTCTCAGGTCAAAGCACTTCTCAGATGATACCTGTGCTAGACAGAGCTGGACATGGCAGCCAGARTCCTTCTCCATCAATCCAGGCATGGTGAGACCACACACCACGGAGATACAGATGAGTATTTGCCAGCTCTATGCATACTAGGGTATCTCCTGCCTTTCCAGGGAGTCATCTAGTTTACTGAAACAAAAATTGTCTCCTTGCTGTGTGCAAACTATTTCAATAGAGGTGTAGCCAAYGTCTGGCTCTCAAACCTTTTGGATCCAGCCACACATCCACAGCCTTACTTGAGTCAGCTTTACTGCGGTGTAACAGCTACTTGTTTGGATGAAAAGAAGCTGTATTTTCTCTTTCTCCCACTGGGAGAAGCCCAGGCACTATATTCCATTAAGTTCTATTCATTTTCATCKTGACCTGAATCATGGGGATTGAAGTCTCATCTCCCATGGAGTCCTGTTAACCAGGAGCAACTTCAGTAAGGCCAGTGGGGTATCATTACACAGCCAGCTGCTTTTCCTTCTAGCACAGCAGGGYGATGGAAGAGCTTTAAGGCAACAGGGGACCGCCCTACAAGGAGGTAATACTCATATATAAATGGATTTTAAAACTTCTCCTTTTTCACCTRCAGAGTTGTGCAAAGTGGTAATAATGAGACATAATACTGTGCTGCACTTCCCCAGCGATGTATTTGTTAAATAAAAGATGATCAAGAAACATTCTGTCATTGTRTGGCCAGGCAGCACCGTGACCACAGCTGAACTGTACAAACTTTGCCCTCAAATGTGTAACCCTCAACTGGAAATGTCATTTTGGATGTGGGGTTTTTGCCAGKTCACAACTAATGTAACATCAGTTCACAGTGTGTGACCTAATGTAACATTTTCATAACGTGAAATGAAGAATGTGTGTCAACTTCCTTCGGTGCAACATCAGGATTTGCAGGTGCAAAGTCTACTGTGTACAGGGGCATAGAGGGGGCCAAATCCAGGGCAGCCTTGTCTGTGCTGTCGGTTGGAAAATCTGGACCACGTGCTATCCCCCAGGCATCACTCGACAGAGTGCAGCTTGGCACATTTCCATGTCATGCCACACACCATGTTAGCATTTAAACATTACTGATTGACTGTCTTGTGCTGCCCCTTTCCCAGATGTTTTTTGTTCACTGGTAGCTGGGGTCCACGTGATCTTGCAGAAGCATTGAACCAGCAATGGAGCACAACTTGACCATCTACTTACTGGCTGAAGGACCAATGGTGAAGAGCTCTGAAACTCAGACAAAAGATGCTCTGTGAGGAGAAAACAATATGAYTGTACCTTGTTCATCTCTCTGACAAGCTGTGACTCAAATACACAYGTCAAAGATTGAACTGAGTGAAAAGCTTTTTCTTTTTGGGATTTTTTTTAACTTCTGATAAATGATAGCTCCACTTCACTGGCTAAAGTGCATATAGTACTGTTCAAAATTAAAACCACAGTAGCAGCRGAAGGACTTAATGCACTAATAGAAATGTCCCTTACTTTTTGCAGTCTATCTTCCCCTCCTTTGAAGGATATAATGTAGTCGAGGGTGAAATTTTAGGCCTTATTGTGATTAGAGGGGTGCAGAATCACTGTGCCTCACTGAAAAGTGACAGCAGCCAAATAAGGAAGAGAAACAAAACAAAAGGCAAAATTAGATCACAAACGTAAACTAAAATATCCTAAGAYAGGAAATAGAAAAAAATGTGTGAAGGTATTTGATTTRCTTGAAAKACGTTGATATGTTCCATACCATCTRTTAAAATACTCTGCTTTCTGCCCTCTCTTCCCTTCGTTCTGAAGRTGCTGCAGCCCCCAGTCCCATGGTGCTGTGATTTAGACAGAAGTGACCTTTATGAACTCCACGAGTGCAGCCTCCCAATGCAAGCACTTCACAGGCACAGAATGAATCATTTCCCATCAACAAGGGACAAGAAGTYAGCTCAGATGGATGCACTGAGAGAGACCAAGGTGATATCAGCCTGACAAGCTGAAGTAGCAGTGTATCACATAGCAAATTGCTTTTGAAAGTTTTGTTGGTGTTGCAGGAGAGATTTTATGCTGCCTTTTCATCCCGGCTGTTGTGTGACATTTTAAAGAGAGGGACTCAAAGTTCTAATTCCTTTCTGAGTGCAAAAGGATGTGTTTTAGCAGAAAGAGTTGTCTGCTACCTGTCAGATCCACCCACCTGGGCTGGATTCAGCCACTGGTTCACTTAAAGGTCTTAGCCCTGTTTCCCACAATATCTTTAGTAAGTGATTCTCCCTTCCTACCAAATATCTCTTTGGGCCAAGAACTCAGATCATTACAGAGCTTTAGCCACATTGCAGGGTAACAGAGAGGGAGGTCACAGATTTTATGGATCTTTTCCACCTTTATATGAAAAATGTATAAGGGATTTTTTTTTAAATGTTATTTAGAAAAAATATATTTTACTTTATTTATGGAAAAGAAGTATTTTCCATATTTGGAGGAAGAGTACTGATCTTGTAACCAGATGTGGAASTCAAACTTCCCCTTGGCCTTTCTGTCACATATTGATTCATCCTTTTTGCAGTAARCCACTTGGAACAGGACCCCAGGGATCTGAGACCTGGTATCTCCTGAGAGGTCTTGGGAAGGTTCCATCTCTTCAGCCACTTCTCAGGATTCTTTGTGCCATCCATTATCATGGGTGAATGAGAAATGTCTTTATGTCCTTATTCCCTTTTGGACATGGATACRAGGGAAGGTAAAAGCCAGGGCTTTCCACATACTGTGACTTTTATTACACAAAAAAATACTCAAAGGCCTTGCATAACCAAAATAGACCCTTTGTAAGAATCTGTAGCTTTGACTCCTTAATTTCTAGTCTAATTTCAGAGTGCTCAATAGTGATCCCAAGCGGAACTCCAAATTTGAACATCCCCTTTCCGTCCCTACTTGGTTTTTTTACTGCCACACATATTTCTGTATTTTGYGATTTCCTGCACTTGGCTAGGGCAKAAAGGGTTTCTTCTCCAGCAGGTACTCTAACGTGACACACATTTTTATGTCACCACTGAATTTAGCCCAGTATACCTGACCATTGCAAGAACCACTTGATCCTCTTTCTCATCTTCAGATGAATTCACTCCACTAATTGTGAAAGGGTCATTTCCCTAATGATACCATTTTACCCTTGCTGCCCACACCACACCTTCAGAGTTTAGCAATTAGTACAAATTGGAGAGTACAGATGAATCACTCAGAAGTTCAATAGCTGCCTGACTTTCCTCATTTGACTTGCAAGAGAGGCTTTATTTTTTTGCTCATACCCCACTCCCAGGCCTGCAAAGTGCTCTTCAGCAGAAATACTGTGGTGTGCAAGGCTTGGTTTCCCTGTCAGACTGCGGGCAGGAGACTCTCATTTGTGTGGGCTGTCCCCATTTTCACCTCGGGCTGCACACTACACCAGAATAGAAAACATGAGTCAAAAGGTTAAGGGTTAAACTGTTAAAAACAGAAGAAGAGAAAATTCATTCAGAAAATACTGGTTCCTAATGGATGAGAGGAAGTACTGTACAATTTCTTGTAAAGTCACAATGGCCAGCTCAACAGAGGAAACCCCTCCCATCAGTGGCTTGTACAATGCCTCCTGTAGCCTGAACAGCTGCCAAGTCATGACCATGCAGTTAAGAGAGTGCAACAAAGAACCTCAAATCAAGGGCACATTTCCATCTTCCGGTCCAGCTTAGCTCCCAATCTATTTTTTTTTCTTCTTCCTCTTGCATTAATTATAACAACATAAGCCTTCTTAGTGATTTTCCTTTCTTACGAGCTGAAAAAAAGAGCTTCTCTACATGGAAGCAAAGCCATGGTTTCCACAAGACTTGCTGAGCCAACCTAATCACTGACTGATTTGGGAGCTGCCCCATTCTCCCAGCTTGGCTTGTGTGCTCTTAACTGCTCACGTTGGGTCTGGCACTCACCAGACCCCCTCCCATGACCTCGTAAACTCAACAGTCTGCTCAAAAACATCACAGCACAAACCCCTGCAGCTTTCTGCTGTGTCAGCCCTCGGAGATGGCGCGGAATATTGGAACCAGTGCAGGGCTGGAGGCCAGAGATGGATGGCTATAAAATCTCTCCCTTTTGGTTAC